CCCTTAAAGGCTTCCTACGACCCTTTATATATGTTTCTACTAATGGATGTGAACATACGCGGTCACATAGAACGTATAATAAAAACGATATTCCATTCAACATTGCCTAATTGAAAATACACCATATTCAATGTCACTCCGCTGCTACTTGTTATGTGAAAGTAAAATCGCTGTCCGTGCATGTGCGGGATACTTGGCAAAGCACATTACATGTGGGCGGGGCAGCTCCGCCCACATTTGGCAAACCCCGCCCACTTCCCAGAAATGCCGGAATTTGCACAAAATTCATGAATTCGCGCATTCCGGCACCTTTGAAAAGTGGACGAGACTTGCAGAGAGGTGGAGCCCGCATAAGGGGAGGGGGAGAGGTGGGGTAAAAATCAAAGTTGTTTTGAGATTCCCCAGTCATCTACGAGCTTTTCTATGCGATTTGAGAACGAACTATTTGCCAAAAAGGGCGCGGGGCCAATACGAGATACTTTTGAACCTAAATTGATTATGTGAACACAAATTGGAACCATTGCGCACATTAGAATTGATATTTAGGGTATCGCACACCATCGCGCGACATCGTGTTACTGCATAACTTCTTCTTCTGCGCATTCACCATATGATATCACAGCTGACAAGATCAAATTTGCTTTGCGCCTTGTGGCAAAAATATTTGAAAGGTGCTTTACAATGATTGTTTATCATCTGCTTGAACGGACAAAAGAAAAAAATTGCTTACAAAAACTCTTGCCTTCATTATTTTCGCGGTTATCCTGAAGACATCTTGTACATTATTCGATTTTAAAGGGAGTTCGTTGTAATGAGAGGCAAATAAGTGCACATGATAAGGCTAAAAAAACTTTTCGCTTCAAATCAAAATTTGTGCACTTTGCAAAAGCTGCAGTTGGTTGCAGAGATAAGGTTAGTGTCTGTCCGCACGTCACATGGTTCGTAGTCGAAAAGTATGCAAATGTCAGTGTATTAAATTGCTATTCAGTTACTTATCAACGACGTTATTCTCAGAAAAGCGATATAAGCAATATTTATATTTGCTACTGATAGTTTATCCATGACAAGACATTAATGTTAAATTTGTCATTGCTTCAAAAGCTTATTTACTGAAATCATTGCATTTCCAAGGTATGTGGAATATCCGGTTATCAGTGGTCCATCGAGAAAAAAAAGGGGGGGGGAAGGAGAGAAAATTTTTTTAGAGCTACTTGGGCTGTAAAAATGTGCAAGTAATTTGTTTATACGTGTATGTAATTAAAATGAATTTGAAATTTTTAAAAATCCAGGTCAATCATGATGTAAGAATTTTCCCTGCCCACGCCCGCAAAAATTTTCTTTAATCAAGAAATCCGGCCTTTGTTCGAAAAATTCCCTCCCCCTTAAGCGGAAATACTGGGTACGCCACTGCACATTATGGATCTTTAGAATGCGAACCTATTAAACATAATTTTCGCCCAGAATCCAAAAAACTCCTATAACGAAGTTATCAACAGACAGCTAATAAAAGTTTTACTTCCTTCTCAGAAAACAGTTATTCTCTTTCCTTTTTTCAGAACGTATTACTACGCCTTTCGCTTTCGTCTAAGCATGTAGATTATCTTCTCAAAATTTTGAATAATATTCCAAGTAACATGAAGAGCAATGTGATCTTATCTGTCTAACAGCTCAGTTCGAAGCCATTTCAATGTGCCCTTCGAGAGTGTGTGGCGCTTTTGCAGTCGGCCTGTAAATTAATCGAATACAATCCGTTTCTGACGAGTTTTAAATGCAAAGCTTGACTGCTCTATGTCTGCTTTTAAAGTAAATAATTGAGTTGGTGCAAAAGTAATGGGCGTTCTTAATGAGGCAGCGGCCGCTGAAATCAGAAATGAAGTATACTATTCGATAGCGCAAAGTAAGCTTCCCAAACAAATATTAGATCTTTTCGGAAAAATCTACTCCAAGAAGAAATAAGTCTATTTCTTTTACTCCATTCGCGTCCCTTTCCTTAGACGGAGTTTTGAGATCCAAGTTGAAAGACAAAAACATAAAGTAGTTAATAATAGTTAATAACGAATCGCCGTAACGTCCAAAAAAATTTTTTTCGACGTGACGGCGACGACGAGCCCCACTTTATCATATTGTGAACAGTGAAGTACGTAAATGCAGGCTGGAATTTTTTCGAGGCTGGAATTGAAGAAACGAAACAGGTTAAACATAGGAATATTAGAAATTTAGTTGGATGGAAACTATGTTGGTTCTAAACCGAAAATTCTCTCAAAATAAAAGTCAACAAGTATAATTTTTGTAATGGACGGATTTACATGAGAGACGCAGACTGCGTCGCGGGCGCGAGCGGCCTTAATTAGGTCACAAAACCCGCCTTTTCGCCGCCAATCCAGTTGAATCAAATGTTACCGTTATAGATGTGAAAGGAGCACGCGATCGTGTTTGTCAGATTTCGGCCCATCAATTTGTTATCAGTTTTTAGCCTTGAAAAAATACGAGTGTATTTAATAATGAATGTTTGTGCATATACTGAAAATAAAATCATATTGCTAACCATGCGGTTTTGTGAAATTTTTCTGGTCTGAGATTCAATGTGCTCAATATTTTTAGATTTTGGCTCCAAACTTCACGCGATACGAGCGGATATCTGAAAGTCATTTTGGGGAACATTAATTGCTCTATGTAATATACTTCTACGTGATTATAGTCACTCCAGGGCTTAGCAAAAATGCCCCTTGCTTCTACAAATCTTATAATTTGAAGTCTATAAATGTGTTAGCTAATGCCAGTGTCAAATGAGTAAAAAGGTTTTTGCAGTTTGCACTTATAGTACTTTATGAATTGAAAACGCTTTATAAGACTTGATATTAGATTATGGTGCAAACATCAAAAGAATAAGATTTCTGAGCGCTCATATATATTTTTTTTGAAGTCGACAGACATGATTATGAAATAATTATTCATAAACATATGAAATTTTGAGTTATTATATTGTGTGCTTATGTTAGATTGATCAGTAACTTGCTTTGGCGCAAACGCAGGAATAAAATAGAAAAATTACGAGGTGCGAAGCAATACATCAAAAAAATGCATACCTAGTTCCCATGCAATAACTAATATAAGCTCAGTCCGCATTCTTTTCGTTACGCACCTTGCCACATCGACATTTTCTCGTTCACTCTTAACATGCATCAACTCATCGTTTGTGTCTGGCTTACTAATTAAGTACATAATCACATCATCTCAAAAGTCGTCATCCCCTAGAAAAACGCTCCAGAAGCATGTATTTGTTCAGAAATGCAATGTCGTCAACGTTGTCATATCAGCTAATCCGTTCTGACTTGGCCGCATGTGAGCAAAGCTCGTAAGCTCAGCTCAGCCAAGGCCTCACATCGTCAGGCAGAGATCCTCGGGCTAAGCCGAGCGTTGTCAGGACTTACGCCAGTGCCGAGCTGTCATGGACTCCATTTCGCTCCTAATACCAAATCAACATCCGAAAGTACTTACCCAGGTAAGGTGATTTTGTGATAAGCTGGTGAGATAGCCAAAAAAATGGAAAAATCCACTTGAACGGCTCAAAAATGAAAATAAAAACAACAACTATGGTACGCGGCGCCGAGGAAATTTGTTAGCAGTAAACAATACTTGGTTACATCCCCCAAAGATTTTTTGTGAGTTTCTATCGTGGGGGAACTAGTTGAGAAGAAGTGGCAGCGCGCAATTCACTAACATTATTTTCGTTTTTTGCCTTAGGAAAAAAAACTGTCTCAAATCCATAAATCCGCCTTGAACGACATTACACGAGTGTTTTTATTTACCTTATCATCCCACTACTAAGATAATCTAAGGATTCCTCTTATTCTGCATTGAGTGTCGTCTTTCTGATGCACGGGCTGACTTTCTTTGACAATTCGGTGAGCACAATTAATTCAACTGCTTTTGGTGTACAAGAGCCATAGGTCGCAACTTAAGTCTTGCATTACGCTTTTTCTGGTAGGTAGTCTATTAGGTCGGCTAATAAATAAGTTCAGTCGTTTTTGCGGCTCTTACAAATGCTGCAGGCTAATTTTTGTCCAGTCTTTGGTATCTCTGGAGAAGGCATTCCAATAGACATAAACATAATTGGGCATAAATTTTGTTTGAGTAGGACTTATCTTTCAGAGAAAAAAACCCGCATAGAAATGGGAAACCTCAGCTTAAGTATAGTGCGCAAACGTGAGAGAATTTGGTTTCTTAATGAAAGATTTTCAAAGTGGCAGATCACAATTTTCGTTATTCACTAAATAGGGAAAACTCCTCTGCATCTAAATAGCAAACTCCTGTTCTCTAAATCCATTACAGCATGAAGACGAAGCTTAGAAAGCCAAAGAATTCAGCTTTTGGGATTTAGCCATGTTGAGGCATGACTGTCTTCACTAATAATGGAAAATCTTGAATATTTGATGAATAGAGGAAGCTTCGGTCTAGTTCAGAAAAAATCATGGATAGAAGACAGCAAGAAAAAAAATTTTTTTGAAGATTTGCATGCCAAAATGAACTTATTTTTAAATCAACCTACTATTTAGTTCTCGTTTAGCTTGAGCAGATCACGCAATTTTCGGTGACGTTTGAAGTAAAAAATCGCGGGAAAGAAAGTTCATAAAGAATTGCCCAACTCTTAGAACGTTGTCCGTTCACAACAGGCCTAAAAGTTCAAGATCTTATTTTGATCTTCTAGAAGTCCATATTGTTATGCTCTTCTTCTAACCGCATACGCCAAAAGTTGATTTTGGAAATTTCTTTTTCAACTGTTTGATAAAACAAATGAAGTATTGAATATTTGCGAAATTTGAAGTACAACTTTTTGATTATTGAACAATTATCCAATTTTTTTGTGCTGCAAGGCTTCCATTTCTATAAAAAGTTTGTGACTAAATAACTCTCAGAAATTTCAGGATGACTTCGATCAGCGTTTCAATTTTGTCCGACAAAAGAAACGTAGAACAAATCGTGATGTCCTGCGAGTTGCAATGGCGAGAAATTTTCAAAGCTATCAGGGTCTATCGGATTTTTTGCCCTTTCTTACCTGGATCAAGACGTACGATATCAAAGCTTCAGCTTTGCGAGATTTTATGGGATCTCTTCTGTTAGCTGCACTGCTTATTCCACAAGGTAAAGCTTCGCTAAACCCTTATTAAAGGTTTTTTGAGGTGTATTAGATTCATGTTCAAGCCAAACAATGTTTTATAGGCATCGCAAATGGCTTATTGGCATCAGATGTACTTGCTGGAATGTTCTCCATTCTTTTACCAAATCTCATATATCCATTTCTTGGCTCCGCTCGACATTGTACACTGGGTAATTATTCAGACAAACCTAGCCAATGGCAAATGCTTATGGTTCAGGATCACTTTCAATGACGTCATTTTTGATATACTCTTCTTGCAAAAATTCCGGGTCTTCCATATCGACGATAACTCTATGGTGTGGTGTATTTCAAGTAAGTTTCTTGCCAATAGATTCTACTTTTTTTGTTCACACTTCGTTATTCTCATTATCTATTGACTGATGAGAAAATTAATATTAAATTGTTAAATCAATGTGTTTCAACGGAAAACCGCATATCAGTTTTTCCATTCCAGCTGCTGCATTTTTTCTTTCCATTGGATTTTCTTCTTCATTTCGTCTCCTCAAATTTGCTATTGGGCTTCAGTGCGGGAGTAGCAACAAGGATAGCTTTGCAGTTAATTCCTACTATATTCAACTTTTCTTCAGATGAATGTGGACAGATTTTTTCCACTATGGTAAGTTAGATTACACTCAGGATTCCATCAACATTTTAGTGCAAAAGTCAGTCTACATTTGGTATTTTAACCCACATCAATTTTTTTCTGCTAGAGTATATTTTCTAGCTAAGCTAAAGCTGTTCATAGAGTCCACTTCATGCTTGCAAATATGGTAATTTCCTCAAACAGCGGAAGTAATTATAAGCGACACTCGCTAAAAAGATATTGCTGACGCGCTCGAGTAATCTAGCTTTACACTTTCATGTTGTCATTAATGGAAGTGAGAGTCCTGGAAAGGAACGTTATCCGAGGGACGGTGAAATATGGGAAACTGATAAAAATCCTCAGCTGTAGTCCATTTTGGAATTGTTTATGGGCCTGGTTATCATAACATCCTAGTAAACACACAAATTTTGTCCGTTTTCGCGATTTTTTCAGAAGATCGATGATTTTGTTCGAATGGTTGCGTGCAATTAATACTGCATTAGCTACAAAACTTCTCATCAACCATAAATTAGCAAATGAAAGATGTTTATTCTAACAAGAAAACGATACTCGGTGTCCGCAGCCTTTTGGGATGAAACGTATAACATCTCACTCGTTTTACAACGCTGATTTCGAATCTGACTTCCGTTTTTGCCAATCGTTTCTATAAAAAGTATCAAGAATTTTCGCGTCAATCGTCAACGCCCAAGAGAAATACGTCGAGGATGCTAACTTTCAAAAAAAGGAAGTTTGATTGAGGCAATGCAAAACTGAAAAACAGAGAAGGACTCAAACCTAAACCTGCATTGACCTGTGAGACAATCGTACTAGCCACTAACACCATATCGTATCGGAGATTCTGGCATTTCGACCCTTTGAAATTATTTTTAAAATTTTCAAAAGTTTGTGGTTTTAAACTGCTGCAAAATAGGATTTATAAAACTGAAGTATTTGCCAAGTAATTATCCATAAGAAGTGTTAAATCTGACTTTTTTGAGAAGTGAAAAATATATCTGGTCAATCCGTAAATCAAACATCACCCCACTCTCGCCTTCGGGTAAACAATTTCCGAACTTCTTCTTAGATTATGGGGTTCTTGTAATCTTCATATCAGATATCGAGTAGTCAACAAAGCTTGAAAGGCTGGCTTCTGTTGTCAATGGGACTCAGGTGAGACGTCAAGAGCCTGAAAAAATTATGAGTTGGAAAGGAGATGTCGCGTTTGCGATGCGAGCATCCTCGTAACGGTTTGATGACAAGTGCTGTGCGTTGCTAATCGGTCGCATCAACTGTGTCTGACCATTCCGGTAAAAAGCTGCCAAGTCGAGGGGTATATATAGCAACGCTAACAGCGGCATTTGCCTCTTTGATTCTCGTCTTTATCTAATTGTTATTATAGTTTGGCTGAAAAATAAGTCCGGTCGTTTTCAACGGTTTGTAGATGCGTTATAGAATGATTTATGTATGAATGTATGGCATCCTTGACAAAGACCGACCAAGAAAATTGGACGTTGAGCTCTATTTATTCAATGAGTCTTTTTTGGCGTAATGTTGCAAGGAAAAAATAGATTTTCATCGAATTTTCAAGGACCGTGTCGCGAAAAACGAACAGAAGCTGGATGTACAATATTTTGCTACCCACACTACAAATCATCAAATTTTCAACCATTTGCATGCCCATAGATGGTCGAATTTAGGTGATTTGGATTTTCCAAAAAGATGACTTGGCTCAAATGCCTGGACATTCTTACATTTTTAGCTGTAGAAAGTCACAAGGAGTAGATCACAGTCATTGTGGTTAGCCATGTAGCCAAACGTCGTATGTAGTCGTTAATTTGCTCATCTGTGCACCCACTACAGGCTGTGGCCGAAAATTAGAAATCAAAAGAATTTTTCGGAGGCTGGCCATGTAAAAAAACATAATTGTTATTTACTGACAAAAATTTTTGAAAACTGGATAATGAGAATAGACGCTACCTTCCCGCAAGAACCTTAGCTAACCAACTGTTACTCAAATTGTTGTAGAACTATAAAATTGCATGTCAAAAGGATCTTGTATATCAGCTAAGCTAATATTAGGTTGTACCGAAAGCTTTGCCCTTATTTTTATCACTAAAACTCACCAGAACACCAATAGAGGGATGGCTTAGTACCATTTGATACAGATTTTTATCCTCTTTTTACAGCTATATTTGCTCTTTGATCTACCCTCTTTGCAATGCTATCGTCATGGCTTTTTGGATTTTTGAAATTGAGGAAAGATTTGGCGTTACTGCTGAGCAGCTCAGCAGTAATGCCAAATCTTTAAAAATTTTATTTAGATGTTTTCAAAGAGCGCTGACCATTATGTAGAGCAAAACTTTGACTACATTTTGTCTATTTTAGACTACACGAGCCAAGCTTACCAAGTCCGCTGTAATTATTTATTGAATAAAAACCGCGGTTATTTGCTTACGTTTACCATGTAAAAGCACCAAAAATTCCAAAAAGCTGCTTTTTCAAGCAAATCAAACCTGGTTATGTTGCATAAATAATGTTCAATAGAAATTATGTTTCAGTTCGCAGAAACTTTATGAGCTTTCGCTTATTTGCTGCAGTTCGTGTTTCATGACTTTGCCAACGAGACTACCGAAATAATTTTTGAAGCTAAGAACAGCAGATTAGGAGATTCTAAATATAACCTTGTCCGAGAATTGCTCTATTTAATCCATACTTGGTCCCTTTCCAAAATCTAGAATGAAATTTTCAAAAATTAGCCTAACTTTGAGCAGATAAAACTGACGGATGAAGAAATGGCAATTTTCAAAAAAAAAGGACACAAAACTGTGGTGCAAAAATAAATCCTTATGAAAGAGAAGGAAAGCTGCATCGAATGCAAATTGTAAATCATTCAGGTCTTTATTGCGTTTGGTTTTATAGTGGTTTGAAAAATGAACAAAACTTTCGGAACAACCTAATATATCGCTAGCCTTGCTTTCACCATTTCCAGCATAAAATGCTTCTGTATTAAACGGTTGAGCAGTACGGTGTTTTTGGGTTGGTTGTGCTCGAGCTCGAGAAAGTTCTTGGACTACGGAAGATAACACGCGTGAATGGAGTTAAGATCGCACCGTTCCCAAGACTTAGCTTCTTAAGAAATGTGGAGGAACCCAGGACATCATCGAATAGATAGCCTGAGGAACGCCGGCAACACGAAACGACGTGGCTCGTCCCGTCTTATTGTTCTCGGTACCTTTTTGTAGTTGCAGTAGTTCAGTACAGCTCCTTTTTGTTTGATTATAAACTTATGTAAACTAGTCGCGACTAGTTTACATAAGCTTATAATCAAACAAAAAGGAGCTGTACTGAACTACTGCAACTTCAAAAAGGTACCGAGAACAATAAGACGGGGCAGCGTCCGTTCTGAAGGTTGGCGGCAGGGGGTAGCGAATACGTAAGAATCTAGTGTGCGGGATTAGCGGAGTTGGGCACTTAAGGGGCTTTTGAGTGCCTTCATACCGCGTAGCAGCCGCCACTAGCAGCCCGTAACAAAGTCCCAGCAGCCCGCAGCAGCTCGTAGCAGCCGCCAGCAGCTTGTAGCAGCCTCCTCTGGCCGCTTTTTTGTCATAAGAGCAAATCATCAGATTTTTTATCACTTTGAGTGCACCCGCCCAGCTTTTCATCTTCCACGCTTTCTCCTTCCAGTTGCCTCCAGCTTAACAAGTCAAGTAGTCAACAAGTTTACACTTGTGGTCCATTCCATCAAGCCTTACTCACTCCCTGGAACCAGAGAAGAACAAGCTAATTATTTTTAGACATTATGCAAAGTTGTTCCGAGACTCTTGATCAATAGATGATATTTATCATATAAAAGAGCATGCAAGAAAACATATGTTGAAGGTGAAGGAAGCAAAGCACGCAAGAAAGAGTTCAAGCACACCCAAATGCGGAGGAGTAATCCAATCGCTAATCGTTTCAAACAAGACAGATTGCATAAGTGAAATGAGGGCACCGATAGGATAAGCAATGTGCTGTGCTGTGTGCTTTTCTCTACTTATGATTTTTTTATATAGATCAGAAGTTGCAGGTGCCAAAATCGCTAATTTTTGCTTCTCAAAAAAACTTTGCTTTGAGAACTTAGAGCAAAGGTCACAAAGTTTCCTTCAAATGTAGAGAAAAGCACTTGCAGAGCAGAATTTTTTCTTTTTAATGGTACAGGTACTCTGATGTAAGACAACCGCTTCGTCGAAAAACGGTGACAAAAATGAAAACCTGCGAATTTAGGAAACGACCTAATTTAATACTTTTGCTATTGTCGTACAAAATTCATTTTTCACTTTATGTAGCATAAATTGAAAGTGACTATTTCATCAAGTGTGAGCAAAGGCGATGGCACCCATAAGTTTGATAACTCCTACAGGAATTACTCGCTTAAATGTCTCACGTCGCACCTCTCGCTAATGTGACTCTAGCGGTGTTATCCGACTCTGAAACATCCTAATGTTTCGAGAGGCTATCTTTGCGTTCTGTCTCCAAAGACCCCGAACTACTCGTATCTATAAAAAAAGACGTTAGGTAAGCGTTTTTGATGTGTTCTCAACGGTTTATTTCCTTTCTAGGTAATAATGAACTCAAAGTGATGTAAGATATAAGTAGTCAACCTCTTGCGTTTTTGCTATTGCAAATCCAGAATGAGGACGCCAAAGATGGACGGTGATTACTAGCTCTCATTACTCAGATTACTACAAGTCAAATTTGTTTGGCCGCCAAAAAGAAATGGGACTTGCGAAACGCATTGTGTTGCTGCAAAAAAAAACATTACGTTCAAAGCTTCCTTGCAACTGATAAACTCACAAAAATAAGAGACTCCCTTTGTGAATGTGTAACTCCCCACCAACTCTTTGCCATTCTCGTAGCACCAACGTGAAGGGTTTGAGCTAAAAACGCTTAGGATGGATCCAGCAAGTCCTAGGCTTGTATACTACTTGTGATCGTAGTGTTGATGTTGCACCCAGTTTGGCTTCTTGAAACCCAAATGGCTTTGGCTGCAATATGATGATTGCTTCAGCATTTATGACGAAAACTCAGGATCCTTACACTTTTTTTGCGCACAAAAGTTGGCTTTGGATCCCTTGACTTGTTTGTGATAATAATTTTCAATATAAGGCGCCGTTGACATGGAAAGGATTATGAAAATAATAGTTCGAGAAGGAGGCATTAGCACTTCTTGCTGGAGAGCAACAAAGAGAGGAATTTGCAGACGCCTATACGTTTCCAGTGCGCCGGATCGATGATGAACTGTCTGAAGACCTTGGATATTGCACCGCCGCTGCTATTTATCTCCACTTTGATTATTCTTCTTGTATTCAAATGGAAGCTGGACGGAATCCTTTTGCAATCCACTGGTACAGCTACTCCATATGAGTTGTGCATTGTGAGTTAGCTGTTAAATTGTGACTCTTATGATATAAGTCTTTACAGCTATTCATTGTGGCTATTGTCTGTCACTTAATCGACTTACCCAAGACGCAACTGTTGGCCGCTTCCTTAGACTCAAGGTAATCAATTTGTGTAAATTAGGCCATTTTACAAAAAAATCCATTGAACCCATTTTGTAGCTCCTCCTTTATTCTACTATATCCCGTTTAGTAAAACGTAGTATACCCGGCACCAGGGTAACAAATGGACATTGGTAAAACCGCCTTTGCCTTTATCGATTTTTACAATTTCGCTTGATTCCGCCAGCTGCATAGGCTTTAATTGGAGCGCGCTTTCTTCCTCAAAAGGACTAGCGTCGTTGCGGTTCCTAACAAAAAGGAGAAGATGAGTTTTCAAACCAAAATGTTACTATATACCAAACATTTAGCGTAAAACAGATTTACGTGAAAATTTTAGAAATTTCTGTTAAATGGATGACTCTGCACTGTCTTCTACTAGTCCCTGTCCGTTTATAATCGCTCTTAGTCACATCGTTATGTGCGCTGTGACTGAGACATTTGATTACAACTTACTGTATGTATGTTTGGATTATTGATGACGACGCGTGAAAGATCGTGTCTTTGCATGTCAATCGTTTAGCAACTTGTCGAGAGAGTGTGTATACTCGTGTGTATGCTGTAGATTTCTCGGTAAATATATGCCCCTGCAGAAACGGCAGCACTTACAAGGGAAGTTCACTTAGTCGAAGTGCCGATTCGGAAGGAGGTCTATACCAGTGGATAGAGTTTGAAAAGCTGTCTCAGATATACCTTCTATATCTGCGATGCGTTTTTCTGAAAAAAGTTATGAGCTTTTCTAAAGCCCAATTTTTGTGCATTTTGAGTCGCAAAATCATGATAATCGCTACACAAAAGTACGCAAGCTTAAGCAAACCACCCAATAAGCATTGTAGGTCTAATTCGAGTTCATTCGAACGCTTTCGACTGTTTTTCGACCATGTTGTTCATCCACAGGTCGTCATTTCATTCCTAGATCACACTTCTGTATATAAAAAAGCCCATAACCTCCATCTAGAAAAACGCGTCTCGTAGGAAACTTTTTGGAAATTACCAATGGATAGAAGGTAAAACGATGTTTTCAAATATATCTTCAATATCTGGGACGCGTTCTTCTAGATGGAGGTTATGGGCTTTTTTGTATAAATAATGGAAGTGTGATTTAGGAAGGAAATGACAGCCTGTGAATTAACAACATGGAAAACACTCGAAACGTTCGGATAAACACGAATTAGACCTACAATGCTTACTAGGTGGTTTGCATAAGCTTGCGCACTTTTGTGTAGCGATCATCATGATTTTGCGACTCAAAATGGAAGAAAATTTGGCCTTAGAAAAGCTCATAACTTTTTTCAGAACAACGCATCGCAGATATCGAAGGTATAAGATCAGGTTTTCAAGCTCTATCCACTGGTATAAATCTCCTTCCGAATCGCCACTTCGACTAAGTGAACTTCCCTTGTTAGGCGTGAGCATTTGCCACAGAGAGAGAAGTTCCAGGTAGTTCAGCGTTTTCTTTGTTCATTCTTTGTTTTTAAGTATGCCTTAATCGACTAGGAGTAGAAGATGAGTTAAAAAGCTGCTTTTGCTGTTTTGACTAGTCGTATCGTCGTTTGAACTTAAGAAAACCTCCAGGAAGCTGCGTCGCATGAACTGTTTGTGACGTGACCCTTCCTTTCATCTCTTTCCTATCAAAAAAAAACCTTTACCGCGCTAGCAGGTTATTCTTCAAATTTCTCACCTGAAAGTAAAATCATCTCAAATTAGTATTTTATTCGATAAGGAAACGTCGAATGAAACTAAGAAACCTTTAGCGTTGTAAAGAAATACCTTTCGATAGAAAAGAGATGAAAGAAATGGTCACAGCACAAAACCTCCATGTTACGCAGCTTCCAGGAGGTACATCTGGACTCAAACAACAGTTTGATTGGTTGAAACACAAAACACAAAGCTGTTTTCTAATATAATGGAACTTCTGCTCCTAGTCGATTGAACGTACCTGAAGAAAAAATGAGCAAAGGAAAGCATTGAAATCACCAGCAACTTCTCTTTCTGCCGCGATTGTTCACGAGCAAGTTCTGCCGCTTCTGCAGGTCCATTATATTTACGAGGAAACTACTCGACTGCATATGCGAACTTATACTTACAATATCCCTTTGCTTTCCATCCAAAACGACTTTAAGTTTGACTTTAACCCACCTCGTGCAGGGCCCTAACAAGATCTAATGTGGAACAGCAGCACAGCATTTTCCACTCCCAAAAATCTCCAGATGCGGCCACTATCGACTGTTGTTTCTCAGAAAATGTTTTTGACCAATAACAGTTGCGCGTCGCAGACTTACTTGACTATGAATGACTTCTGAACTCAAAGACAACAAAGGGCTTTTTTTTTTCAGAAAGTTCTGTTACTTTTGGAGGAAAAAAGTGAAAAACGCGAAAGAGACTACAAGTAATGAGAAATACAAGGAATTGCAGACGTGTAGCAAATTCTACAGACAATAAATTACTTTGTAATCTGCTTCTTCCAAGTGAAGTTTGTACTTATCAAACATGTCTTTGAAGAACAACGATTAGAAAAGACGGCGAAATTAGCCTTGCATATTTCTCGATTGAGGTCAGAAGCTTTTCAAATCAAAGCCGATTCCAGCCTTGGCTTTTTCACATTCTTTTTTGCTTCTGCTGCCAAGTCTCGAATTTGAAACACACATGTATGTTCAGATCCTTTGTGCTCCACACTCCAATCATTCCCACTATGCAAGTGCTACTAGATTCTTTTGCAATATTTTTATTTTCTCTGAGCACACACATGAGAGTTGCTAGTGTAGACGACAAAACGAAGAGAATTAATAAGAAGCAGGTAATTTTTTGCTAACCGTTATTATCATATGCTTGTATTATGTTGACAAAATTTCTGCCAAGATTCTGGCAAAATGTGATCCATATATTCTCAGGAGTCATTTTGTTTTTCTGTAATATCAATGCTCTCAAGCCCGATTGGTCTTCTTCCACCAGCAAGTTCGAGAGAAAACACACAGATGAGCCGGGAGACGAAGAATTTCTCGTTGGTGAGGTTATTTGCTGCTCTATATGTATCCATCTTTGACCTCTAATAAAAAAGTGGCACTGCACATGGTTATCCCACGTTTGTAGTGTGAATACACCAAATAAATGGGAAAAGTATGATTAATAATTACCATTAAACAAAAGCACGGTTTTTTATTGCAGATCAGCAATCTCCTGGCTTCGATTTGGATGGCTCCGCTGGTATACTTTGGACGTTTAACGGTTATTCGGTTGATTCCTGAGGTTTGACGACTTACAAGCCCCAAAGTATAGTCCATACCCCTTTTCGTACATTTTTGTTTTACAGAGTGCAGTTATCGGCTTGATAATTGCATCAATATCAGATTCATGGGTCGATTTGAAACGGTTACGAGTTTTATTTTTGTTGCACATATGGGATGCGGTAAGTGAATTGAATAAGTGGAATTTTTTTTGCAACGATTCTCTGCCATCGAATGCAGCGTTATTTCAATCGTAGAGTTATGTCACAGATCTTAGCGCAACAAAAACCAGCGTTGTCAGCAACTCAACAAATTTTAAACGTTCTCGGCTTGTAGAGGTCAGCGCTTTATAAAGGGCACCAACATCAAAAATTCTTGTAACAGATGCAGTGATGTGGGACACAAAGAATTAATGCAAAGGTGTTAGTATGTAGAATCCTTTTTTTTCTATTCGCTGAATCAATAGCTTGACCGACTGCCACGTTCCAGCCAATTATCCCCCAAAGAATTTGAAATTTAAAAAGTCTGTGCATCAAATACATGAACTATGCTTGGAAGTGTTTCCTGTTAGTACCTAAATGAACAAGAGATTATGCGATATTGATTGACGTTTTTTATACCAGTGTGTCGCCTCTGCTTAGCAGAGCTAGTTTCTAATATATATGCATTCTTCATGCTTGAATAATGATGGCTCCGGATCTTACCAGGTAATGGTGACCATCACAAATGAGTTGTAACAACTACTCATTGCAAAAGCTTTTCTATGTACGATTGGTAGCGAGAAAAGGAACTTTTGTGCCGAAATATAGATGCGAATTTGACCTGTTACCTAGCCCACTACAGCACGCACACTAATTATTCGACAGAAAACGCAAAAACTGACGATTCGCGTTTTTTTCGTTTTTTCTTCGTAACTTCCTTCAAATTACAAAAAATACGAATCCGAAGAAAGCATGGTGTTCAACTCGTCAATATGAACCTTCTGGTACTCTACACCCTCTTACTCTTCCGTTTTCAGTCTGCTCGATTATTGTGTGAGGACGGGTTTTCGTAGTGGTATAACTCAGCGAAAAAAAACACATGGAAGATCCATGTAAACATGATTCGGTAGAGCCGTTCCTCTAGATTATTACGCGTTAGCGCTTAGTGGAGGATCCCTTTTCCACAGAGAAATATAGGCCGGTGAATTTTGGAAAAATCGATAACTGTCAAATTTTAGCTACCGTAACCATACAGTAAGACCCTAATTTGCAAAACGGGTGTGTTTTTCGTGATCAGCAGGCTAGATAGCATCTATGCGCAAGTTTCGCAAGAAATTCGGGCCCTTTGATTTTTTTTCTCGTTCTAGGCTCTGAAGCTCGCCGAAGGGTTTTGGCTAAAATACTGATGATCTTGGATTAACCGGAAATTTCGCCTACAAAGGTTTTCGGACTCGCTAATTATGAAAATAGTGCTCTTTGTGCAGCACAAGTATTTTTGGCAGAGTGATGCTGAGAGGAATGCTGCGATACTACGCAAGTTCCTAAATTTGTCTGCCCTTTTCGCGTATCTGTTGAGCAACTTATCTGCTCCTTTTTGTAATTTGAAGTCACTAGAGACAGTGCTCTCACAGCATGCTTAAGCTAGGCCCTTATCTGTAATGATCGCCGAACTGTGAGCTTACGAACTCTCGTCCTCATGAAAATCTTTTAAAATTTTAAGATCGCAAATTTTGGCCAAATATCACCGCGAATTACAGAACACTCTGACATTATGTTGCAGATATTATGTTTATGTACATATGTAAATTGATAATTTCAATGCAGCATACTTGCTTACCCCCTATGCCACCTCTTACGCTTGCTTACCCTTTAAAGGCAGTGTCCAGGCAAATCTGGGCACATGGATTTTTTGTTTGGAAACTGTCGAGGGGGTTCTAGCTAAGGCATTGCCCAAACCGCAGCGCAAGTAAACCATTCACGGCTGAGAAATCTGAACAAAAAAATCTAAACACTCCCCTGCTGCGCCGTGACCGTAGCACTTGAGATTGGTCCCAGCGCGAACGTAATGTTAAAGTGAGCGAAGTCGTTTTTGGGTTATGGTCACGGCGCAGGCGCGGGGTTGTCGGGGACGGATTTCTCGGCCATGATTGAACAATTTGCGCTGTCCCTTGGGCAGTGCCTTAGTTAGGACCTCCTCATCAATTTCCATCGATATCGACCGATGACGAAATGTAGTCTACGAAACCACCTCGACCCTAAGTTGTGTTCAAAATCTGTTTGCATTAATTCAGGTATGCCGTTCTGTTGCCTTAGGCTTTGGCCATACTTTGCCCGTGTTGCCGGTGTTGAAAGTGTTGCCGGTGTTAAAAATGTTGAAAGTGTTGAAAGAGTTGCCAGTGTTGAAAGGTTGAAAGTGTTACCGGTGTTGAAAGTGTTGAACGGAGATCATCAGTCTAGCAGTTTCATTCTTTCTCGAACGACCTCACCGGCTGGTGAATACGTTGGAAATGGAATTGGGGAATGAGAAATGAAACTGATGAGATGGGGAATGTTTTCGCTTACAAAAGATCCTCAAACAAACTTTTTGGAAAGTGGACGGCTTATCTGGAATAGGCAATCTCCAATATTTGGGAAAGCTGACGTCTGAGTAGTAATGTGTTTTAGCCCGCGCTTGCGATTAGTGAGTAAAGGACCTAAGTGAGGTCTGCAGCGTTTTCCTATTCCAGACAAGCCGTACACTTTTCAAAAAGTTTGTTTGAGGATCTTTTGCATGCGAAAACATTCCCCATCTCATTTCAGTTTCATTTCCCATTCCCCAATTCCATTTCCAACGTATTCACCAGCCGGTGAGATCGTTCGAGAAAGAATGAAACTGTTAGACTGATGATCTCCGTTCAACACTTTCAACACTGGCAACACTTTCAACACTTTCAACACCGGCAACACTTTCAACACCGGCAACACGGGCGAAATATGGCCAAAGCCTTAGAAGCCTGGAAATAGTGAATAACCCACGATTTTATCCCCACCTAGTGATGAACGGTTGCAAGAAGACGCCTACGACTTTCGTGAGAGGTTGACAGACTTTTGAATTGCAACTGTTATTGTTATTATTTACCTCTAACATACTAAACTTAAATAAATGTCTGTTTGTCATGTGTCTGTGTGTCTGTGTGTCTGTGTGTCTGTGCGTATATTCCCAACATTACTGCATATCTGAATTAATGCAAACCAGGTTTTGAACACAACTTAGGGTCGAGGTGGTTTCGTAGACTACATTTCGTCATCGGTCGATATCGATTTATCGATTTTTTGCAAACTTTGAGCTACAAGCTCAAGGGCAGTGTCCAGGCAAGTCTGGTCGTATGGCTGTTTCGCCTGAAAATTAACGAGGAGGTCCTAACTAAGGCACTGTCCAAGGGGCAGCGCAAATTGTTCAATCATGGCCGAAATCCGTCCCCGATAACCCCGCGCCTGCGCCGCGACCATAACCCAAAAACGACTTCGCTCACTTTAACATTACGTTCGCGCTGGGACCAATCTCAAGTGCTACGGTCACGGCGCAGCAGGGGAGTGTTTAGATTTTTTTGTTCAGATTTCTCAGCCGTGAATGGTTTACTTGCGCTGCGGTTTGGGCAATGCCTTAGCTAGAACCCCCTCGACAGTTTCCAAACAAAAAATCCATGTGCCCAGATTTGCCTGGACACTGCCTTTAAAGGGTAAGCAAGCGTAAGAGGTGGCATAGGGGGTAAGCAAGTATGCTGCATTGAAATTATCAATTTACATATGTACATAAACATAATATCTGCAACATAATGTCAGAGTGTTCTGTAATTCGCGGTGATATTTGGCCAAAACTTGCGATCTTAAAATTTTAAAAGATTTTCATGAGGACGAGAGTTCGTAAGCTCACAGTTCGGCGATCATTACAGATAAGGGCCTAGCTTAAGCATGCTGTGAGAGCACTGTCTCTAGTGACTTCAAATTACAAAAAGGAGCAGATAAGTTGCTCAACAGATACGCGAAAAGGGCAGACAAATTTAGGAACTTGCGTAGTATCGCAGCATTCCTCTCAGCATAACTCTGCCAAAAATACTTGTGCTGCACAAAGAGCACTATTTTCATAATTAGCGAGTCCGAAAACCTCTGTAGGCGAAGTTTCCGGTTAATCCAAGATCATCAGTATTTTAGCCAAAACCCTTCGGCGAGCTTCAGAGCCTAGAACGAGAAAAAAAATCAAAGGGCCCGAATTTCTTGCGAAACTTGCGCATAGATGCTATCTAGCCTGCTGATCACGAAAAACACACCCGTTTTGCAAATTAGGGTCTTACTGTATGGTTACGGTAGCTAAAATTTGACAGTTATCGATTTTTCCAAAATTCACCGGCCTATATTTCTCTGTGGAAAAGGGATCCTCCACTAAGCGTTAACGTAATAATCTAGGGGAACGGCTCTACCGAATCATGTTTACATGGATCTTCCGTGTGTTTTTTTTCGCTGAGTTATACCACTACGAAAACCCGTCTTCACACAATAATCGAGCAGACTGAAAACGGAATAGTAAGAGGGTGTAGTGTACCAGAAGGTTCATCTTAACGAGCTGAACACCATGCTTTCTTCGGATTCGTATTTTATGTAATTTGAAGGAAGTTATGAAGAAAAAACGAAAAAAACGCGAATCGTCAGTTTTTGCGTTTTCTGTCGAATAATTAGTGTGGGTACTGTATATCTTGTTACATACCGTAATGATAGTAACTACCGTTAGCTACATTTCTGAGCATTTTTTCAAACTCTAAGTAAAATCATCGAACATCTACGCATTCATTCTTTTTGCCGCCGCTTTCGCGAATAAATATGATTTTCAGTTTTTTCTGTTCATTGGCTTCAAGACGCACATGCTAAGCAAATCATAATTTTGTTAATCTTTAAATACAAAGTTTTGTAGGCTAAAATCCGCATGGATCCACAGTTCGCACAGGTCCGCTTATCAAATCGTTTTGCGCTTTTGCACATAGAACACATGCTAGTAGCGTTCATCAAACTTTTAGCTTAAGGGCTTTACTGGATCTCACCCTAAAAAGTTTGTGACAGACAAACATTCACACTCACATACTGAAACACGTAAAAGTCCTTAGACGCTTTTATAAGCCAAGATAATTACTTACATTTTCAGCTCATTTGCACATTTGCATTATTTTCTGCCTTACTGATTCCGAATCTTTGTGTGGCATTTCTTCTCTCTGTAGCTTGCGCTCTATTCTCTGTTGTACTGAGAACGCAATGGCAAGTAAAACAGTACGTCACTTTCTTGATGAGCTCTCATCATTTCAGGACGAAGTGTGATGTCATGGTACGGGTAGCTGACAATTACTTCGGAGAAGAAAACAGGTATATAATCTTTCGGGCCAGTATTCTGGGACAACGTTTGTCTCCCACATCCTAATATATTTAGGTATGAAGGGGAATGCCCCGACTCTCCTTTCTACATTTTGCGAATAAACACTCCGCTGATATTTATGAACTGCGAAGCTGTTCGGGAAGCTATACGCGCACAAGCGGTTGCTGTGAAAAGGTAAGATTACTAGTACTTGCTATCGTGAATTATTCTAAGTGGGCGGCTATACAGACTCCCATAGCAGGTGCTCGAAAATCCTTTTACAAGTCTGTTCGAATGACCTGATGATTAATAAATAACGTTTATGTTCATTTCTGCAGCAACTCTTCTGAAAATTTTGGTTTCACCTATGCAATAAGTTTCTTTAAGCTAATTGTTCAAAACTTCAAAAAAATTTGTTGCGCTCTTTCTCAATCTATTGTTCCTTCCCTTTGTAGACTTCAATGCTTGCCAGTGTATGTCAAGGTTATAATGTTTTGATCGTTCAATAATCTTTATGGAAAATAGAGAAACAGGCATTGTCTGAGAATGTTTCGATAAGCTCACGCTCGTTCTAAGACTGAAAAAACAAATTCCCCGCCTTTAATCGTAATAGAGACAGATTGGGACAAGTGGCGTAGTGAAGTGCCACTATGACCAAGGTTTGATCGTGTTTTTGGACCAACTAACCCCTGCGTCCTCCAAATATGACAAATTGTCACCAGAGCAAGTTGGATAAAAGCAGTGACTTGGTAATCGGCTTGTTCTCGCAAGTCATGTAAAGGCCCTCTTTGATTACGAAATAGAATGCGCTCGGAGCAGACCCTTTAGCAGGTATTGAAATCTCACAAATCATTCTTTGTCTATCCTTCATATTTAACGGAAACAGGTAGTCTCGTTCTAATCAGTGTCTGTAAGTTTCCGAACCCAAGCCGTCATGCCTCGAAATTTTGTTTGTATTTTTGAAAAAAATTCGATGACGATTATCCTATTTAAATATTATAATAATTTTGGCTTGCTCATCTGTCTAGATGTTGTCTCTATTGAAAATTGTCCTTTAGGTGTTGTAAATATCTATCACATCGCGGTCTGTGCTCGAGCCGATATTTCGAGCGAGCGCAAAGTTAGTAGGTGGATATCGAACAGTTCTGATGTTCGATTATATTAGGTTGTTCGGAAAATAATGTCGCATAGTATCCTACCGCGATAGAGTGACCACAAAAAAGGATGGGGTATCATTCGATAGACCAAAGCGGGCTCTACAAGGCAGTTCACAAATTTCCGCGGAAGTCTTGCTCTACCTGTAGTTTAACTCCAAAATATAAAAAATTTTGGATACCAGAAAAATCGTATCTCCGTTCATAGACGTCTCAGTGACCTCCAATTGTCACAGGCATGTACTCCCCACATTAGACATCCACCTGTATAGTTTGTGGTGTTTTCCATGACTACAGTAGGACAAACAAAAATAGGACAAAAGTGCGAGCATGTCGCGTTTTTCGGTTTTTTTGCAAACAATTTGATATTTCTCGAAAACTAGCGCTCGTCTAAAGCTGAAAATATGGTAATACTCCTAAAGATTCATACTGCAGAATTACCTATTTGAGAGAAGCTTAGGATTGCTTTGGCAAAAATATGTCAAATTTCGTTCTCTCAATTTCCAGCCATGAAAAGATCGCGAAAATGTGCATACGAGTATCTAGTATAGTGAGTCCATGTGTGTGCAAGTCAGGGATTCGCAGGACGTTTCCGAACGGAGATACGATTTTTTTCGTCTCTTTAGATCTTTAATGCCTTATGAAATTTGGCTCCAAACTTCACGCAAATCAAACCTGGCGCGAAGGCTCGAGCTTCATTTTGTAGAGCTTGTTTTCAATTATCGGTTGGTACCCTATTTACTTATTTTCGCGCCCACCCTGCCGCGATATTGCATGATGAAACACAATGCGACATTGGCCCGTAGTAAACCCCCCGTCAGGGGATCTGCCCTGAGACGGACCTGAGTTGATCGTAACGCGCCTCGGTCCAGCGTCCAGTGAGCCATCGATCTAGATGGGGATCGCTTTTCAGGTAAAAAAATCTTGCGCGTCCTCAAAGAGGAAACACCCATATCGTTTGTGCAGGTTTGGTCAAACGGATATGAGATTGGTACTCAGCCCGCATGAGCGTGGTTCGGCGCCGGCCACTGGTAAGTTTTTGTGCATCACTGAGCAATCCTTGATAGCGACCACTATCGAAGAAAATCGATGGCGGCCGCTACCAAGGAATCCACAAACCAAAAGAATGTACAAAACAATACTGCGCTTTTTTAACCGAGATTTCATCAAAAATTGAGGAAGTAGGAACAAAATCAAATGGGAATAAATAAAGAGATTGTCGCTTTAACTAGTTTTTGTAGAAATAACCCAAGCAAACTATGCAAAAAGGAGAAAACCTATTCCCTGTTTTTTTGCCGAATTCAGCTGTTCATTGATCCTTTCCTTTTTGGCACCGGCATTGTGCAGTTTTGCGCGTTCTTGTGCCGCAACAATACGTTGAATAAGATGTCCCGTAAGTTACTCACGAGCAACTTACGGGTCTTTTCTTTGCGTCTCATCCTTTGCACACTATCTCGTCGATTCATCTCAAAATCGACGCTGCTCTTACGGATTTCAGGTGAATTTATCGCGGCACCTTCCCTGACGCTTACCCTTCAGATCAGGTCGCATTCTTAAGCATGTGGGAGTGACCGCTGGTCAGTTTATCTCAATGACCTAAACTCAGACCTTCAGTTGAGATCATCAGAAGTGAAGTGGGGTTTACTACGGACCATTATTTTCCGGACAACCTAATAATACCAATCAATCAATCAAAAATCAAAACACTCAAGTAAACTTGATTAAAGTTGTATAAAAGCATTCCAAATAGATGCCTGCCAATGGACCTCAGCCAAAATTATAGGTCGGAGAAAGACAACTACTTATAAATCTTATATATAAAGCTGAATGTCTGTTTGTCTGTCTGTCTGTATGTATGTCTGTCTGTGTGTACGTATGTTCCGAATAGAAAATTCCATTTTTGAACCGATCCGGACCAAACTTGGCACACATACACTTCGGGCCCCGGCGGGTGTCATAAGCTACTTTTCGTCATCGATCAATATCGATTTTATCGATTTTTTGCAAAATTTGAGCTACAGGGCTGGGAGTTGGCACAGGGGGGTAATCGAGAATGCTGATTACAAATTTATTATTGACAGGGCCGGGTGGTGTCGGGTAAGCCATCTAGTTGGGAAATAATGCAAGTAATGCTTCACCACTCAAAAAACAAATAATTCTACGTAAATTGGGTAAGTAGTAAGATTTTACAAAGTGGCTATGCTTAATGTGGGAAAATATGAATGGAAAGGACATTATCTGACAAAGCAGAACATCGATTTCAACTTGAATGGTATTTAAGCTGTAATTTACTTTTGAAAAATGAAATAAAATAACAATCAAGAAAAATTCTGCATTACGGAACGATTCACTTTAGTCATTATAATTGACTATTTTATAATAACTCCTTTTTTAGTAAACGTCAATAAACTTTTCTGCTGTTTACGAATGTTCGGAATAATCCTTTCATGGTCCAGTGGTACCGAAAGATATAGAATAGACTATGGTTTTGGAAATTAGAACGGTTTAGACTTTAATGACAGTCCCGTGTTCTATCCCCGTACGCGACAATATTTTTTTGCAGGGAGAAAAGACGATATCTTCGAAGCGTAAAGATTGTTTTCGACTAAAAAGCTTACTTTCTATCTATTGCACAGATCCTCCTGCGAAAAAAACCGTTATAGCGCCTTTCAGAACGATGTCAAAAACGTGCATGAGCACGCTAGTTTGAAAATTCTAACTAAGGTCAGGGGATGACTGAGAGGCTGTAATGAATCGGCTGTGTAGTATTGTGCCCAGACTATCGACGGAAAAAGTTTCAGCCATTGAGGAACAGTGAGCTCAAAAAAATCTAGATGCGACTCTCGCAAATTTAGATGCGATCCTAAAAAGCAAAAACTGGGATTTTTAAGCTTGAAATTTTGTAACTCACCGGAGAAGTTATGAAACAACCTAAAATTTTTACAATAGAAAGTAGGAGGATGGCCTCGTAATACAGCAAAATTGCAGCGAGCAGGCCTCCATAGCAGCGAAAAAATTTAGATGCGACCCAGATACGATCCCCCTTTTTTCATTATTTGTTGCCATATATAAAATTTAAAAAAAATCCACAGGCTATAAAATATAACGACATTTTGCACAACTGCAGTAGAGCATCTCCACAATAAGATTAATTGTATGGGCCTTTGAAAGACATAACAAAAAAGTTTTTTAAATTATCGATGGTCATCGCTGGTAGAGATGAGCGCTTTTGCCGAGAGTGTGAGACTTCAGTGATGCTTCGGAACCAGGACTTCTAGGCCAATTGGTACATTCAACATTCTTGTCACTCATACATGCCTAGTATTAGCTTCCGAAAGTGTCTTTGGAATCTTCGGTCATACTTTTGGCCAGCAAGTTCAATCCCCGTCTGCGACACCTTTTTTGCAGGGAGAAAAATGCTGTTTTTTTGAAGAGTAGATAATGTTTGCACTAAGAACCTTATTTTTTACATTCCACACTTTTTTATTTCGGACCACCCTCTCTTACGACCCCCCCCCCCCTCCCCCGCCGGTGCCCCTTTACGACCCCCGTTGCGACGCATCACACGCTTGACCCTGCTTGGTGTGCTTTGCTTCCTTAAACTTTATCACATTTTTTGCAATGCTCTTTTTCTTGTAAAAATGGTCTCTTTAGAACATATATTTTGATCTCCACGCATCAGTAAATTTCTCATTATTGTTTGATAACGAAGTGTTTTTTATCTCGTTACTGGTTGTTGTTTTTGTGTCGTGACTATTCTCCGGGTTTAAGTGTGCTTTCTTTTGACAACGAGAATAAAGAATTGTCGCTATTATCATCCATTTTAAGGGCCGTATGCACGTATATCCGCGCGGGGAGGGGAGGGGATCTGAGAGGGGATGCGACAATATCTCTCTACTCTAGATATCTTTCTACTTCTTTCTCTATCTGGCTTATGAAGGTTCTCATACATTGATACCTAAGCATAATGGTTGCCAGGGTACTGTCCTAAAACCAGATTTTTACTATTCTGTGTGGTCCCCAGTGGATTCCCTGGGATTACCTCTCATTTCCAGAGACATTTATCTTCTTATAAACTCAGTGACAATGCTGTAAAATTGTGCTGAGGATGTAATATGGCAAAGTAAATTCGCAAGATTTCGAAATCTTCGATGAACCACTGCTCGCAGCTAGGGATTATCGAAAAATTCACAGTCTCCAGATTCCATTTCTTTTGTCGAAAACATGCTTGACAATGCCGTGGTATATACTCACTCAGTACCATTTCACAGTGTTTCCATTGAGTTTTCTGAAAGATAATGACTTTGGAAATAAGCGATAATCCTTGGGGAATTTCAGTGGATCACACAAGATAGTGAAAATTCAATTTTATATGGCAGTTACTGGCATCCATTATGCGCAGATATCAGTGCATCTTCAGAAGCCAGATAGAGAAAAAAGAAGAAGGATATCTAGAGTATCGAGATATGACGGGTTCCCTGTCAGACCCCCTCGACTTTCCGCGGGAATGTACCTGCATACGGGCCTAAGTCATAATCTTGCGCATGAAGCCGATAAGAGGATAAGTATAGCATCCGCCTTATGCGGTAACCGCCACCATTGTATTGAGTCTTTTAGCGATAGCCTATTCAAGCTTTCACGATAAGATAGTGAAAACAATGAATACGAAGGTAATGTATGAGAGTCAAACTCTACATTAGCGAGAATCAAGAAATAACATGAAAGTTGAGGAAGAGGATGTATGGAGCGTGAATGCTAAGTGGGATGGAAGATCGATAAAGGCTGAAGACCATTATCCTATTGATCAGCATGCTCACTTAGAAATAGAATTTTCTACTCGCAACATACACAAAGCCACTGTTTTATCGTATAAAGTGCAAAATTTGGTTTGTAAAAGTTTGCACTAGCAACTCAATAAAATTGACTATCTTGACTTTGAAGAAGGTCTAAAAACATGGCAGTTGAGCTACGCGTGGTTTGCATCATCCAGCTTCTATAAAAGTTGTCACTTGAATGCTGCTCTGATAGTACATATTACAGCATGATGATGTGCGATTGATTTCTCACAAATTTAGGCTCATCGCTATTGGCATAGGCAGCCGCACTCCCTCCATCCGCAGTCATGCTCTTGCACATCGAGGAAGCATAACAGGTCGGACTAGCAACTTGACAAATATCATCATCACTCAAGACGCTGATATCCCCCAAGTGCAGTTCAGCGACTCGATTGATAATACTACGGTACGCTTCTCAAATGTAGAATGGTTTGCAATTCACGGTTTGCCAGGTATTCTCTCTAATATATCTGTGTATCATTAGTTACCATGCGTTTAATACTACTTATGAGGAAATGGTCAGAACTTAACCTAGCCATTCAACAAGCTGTACAGTCTGCCCCAATCGGGATCAGGCCGAACCGTCGGCTGAATTTGCGCGCTCGCAGCGCTGGGGGATTGCGCTGCATATGCGCGCTGCCACAGAGAGTGAACAGATCGAGGAGAGAGCAGACTAGCTAGCCGCAGATGTGGCGCGAAACCCTCGCGGCGCGGACTCCCGCCATGCCGATTTTGGCCTGGTTAGGATTGGGGCAGACTGTATATTATCGGACTGCCGCTCTTTCACCTGCCAAGCGACTACTTGGGAGGAGTTACGAAATTATGAGAAATTTTTCGAGTTTTGACGAGTATATTTTCTTGAAAGGCGCCTGATGGCGCGGATTTGCAGTGGCTATGGTTATTCTGATTACAAGGAGGAAGCACATGCACAAAAACCTAAATATGTGTTCTTGAAACTTATTTCGTGAAACTGCGCTTAGAACACCTTACAAATCGCACATCTAAACGCTCATAAACCCTTTCAGATAGTCTTGGTTGGCATATAGTAAACATATTTGTGATCAGCGTTTCAAGACAAGTCCTACAATATACAGCTTGTTTGAAATGGCTGGCTTAATTCTGACCATTCCCTGCTTAGCTCAGGCAATTTTTGAGATCAATTTGTCAACAAACTTTGAAAAAACGTATTTTCATACAAGGCGGCTTGTGAAGGACAGAAAGACTGATTTTTTTTACCGATCATCACGTTTGAGAAACGATCACTGAACTTTTTTTCAATTCTTATGAATTCTGTCCAATTTGCAGAAGATGTTTATTTCCTTTGATTCAAGACGGCTTGAGGCACTGCTTATTAGATCAAAGCAAGCTTTTCAGGATGGCATTTAGTTATATGAACAAAGTGCGTCCGCTAATTCAAAGCCACATTCCAGTAATCAATTTCCTCCAATCGGATCTTTACAAAAAAGATTTCCGCAGACCCCCACTTGCTCATAAATACAAGTTCGTAGTAAACCTCCTCAAATCCAACTAAGGACCGCATGCACTAACATGGCCGCGGGGAGGGGATCGCAGCTTAAAAGAAAGCTTCATATTTCGAAACTCCAGATACCTGGATTTCATGTTGTGTACCTATCCGTAAGTATTCCTGCTATCCTTCACTATAAACATGTTGATCAGGAGCGAGAAGCTGTACAAACCGCATTTTCCAGCTTTTGTATGATCCCTGACGATCCCCGGCGCTTTTCTTTGAAGTCATTTTTCTTTCTCCGAAGTTAACGAAAAACTCCCAAAGTTGTGCGGTTATCTAACCCAACAATGCTAAGCATGTTTCTGATAAGAACAAATGATGTTTTGAAGTCATGAAATTTTCGATGATCCACAGGTCGAAATTTGGGGGTTACCGAAAAATTCGATTTTTCAAAAATTCATTTGTTCTCATCAGTAACATGCTTAGCACTGTTGTATTAGATGTTTAGTACAACTTTGGAAGGTTTTCGTTAACTTGGGAGAAAGAGAAATGACTTTGAAGAATAGATGTTCGTCCCCCAGGGACCATCAGGGGATCCTACAAAAAGCTGGGAAATGCGGCTTGTACAGCTTCTCGCTTCTGCTCAATATGTTCATAGTGAAGGATGGTGGGAGTACTTACGGATAGGTAGACAGTGTGTAATCCAGATATCCGGGGCTTCAGGATATGAAGCTTTCTTCTGAAGCTGCGATCCCCTCCCCAGCGAAAATGTTAGTGCATGCGGCCCTAAGGGCCGCATGCACTAACATCCCTGCGGCGAGGGGAGCGGCGTCCCCAATGATGAAAAAGCCGCAGCGGCGTCCGCACGCGGTCCCTTCATAACGGGGGACGCCGCTCCCCTCGCCGCAAAAATGTTAGTGCATACGGGCCTAAGTGGACGTTACTTTAGCACACTACCAAGGGAACGAGTGACCTGGGGTGAGTCGCTTTGTGGACCTGCGCGTAAAAAACTCTTCGCCATTTGTAGACTGTTGCGTTTCTATTCGCAGGGATAGGGTTCAAATGCGCCTAGCGACACTTCAGTGTCTCGTAAGTTACTCACGAGCAACGTAAGGGACTTTTCTTCAAATCTCCACCTTTGCACACCCTTGGCAGTTGACCTTCCCACCCATCCTTGTCTTAGACAGCGCGGCAAAGTCGTCGTGGCAGTCCACCGGCCTATCAATTGCCAGTTCAAGTAGCCTTTCTAAAGCATAGGAGGATGGGCGTTCGTAATTACAACTGACTAGTGTGAAGCTAGGGCTTCAGGGTTGATTATCTGACCGATGTTTACTACGGGCCATATTCTTCGCATGTACGTGTGGATAATTGCTGTTTTTTATGTCATAAATGGGAGAACGAAAACTGGCTCCGTCTAAGCAGCAAATTATTTTGAATTATTTTAAATATTTCTACTTTACAGTGGAGGAACTGGTCATATTTAACCTTTTACACTTGTTTCCGAGAAATATCAAGTTTGGCATAACAAGCTCCGGACAGAGCTGAGACGTTCGTATGTTCTGCCTACTTTCATCTCTCGAATCACAGCCATGAAAGGAATACAGCAACCTCGTACAATTGCAATGTAGAGAATGTATGCGCGAGCAAGCTGATCTGCAGAATTTGATCAAAGCTCCGTTTTCGGGTAGTCGAAAAATTTCAGATTGCGACTTTAGTTTCCAAATCGATTGAACGAAGTGCGAATGCATGATTGCTATTTAGGCGGCTTGCTTTGCTATATCAGTTGGTACCCGAAGGTATTTTATGACAAAAAGATAATTTGGTATTTAAATATCTGTGGACAGGACGAAATGTGTGACAACCTGGCGGCGTGGCAGGAGTTCTCAAAGCCTAGCCGCTTTTCCTCGCAGAGGTACTTGGCACCTCCAGAAATCCCTTGAAGGACATCATCCCGTCTCAGGGCCAAAGGGCGGCTCCGCCCATCACTCCTGTGCCCTTATTCTGAATTGTGTACACGCTGTATTACACGCTTCATTGTGTATGAGGATAGGACTGGAATCGAGAAACAAAAAATTTTTCTAGGTTTCAAAAGATATAGAATCCATAAACGACTGCAGGTGCTCGCGCTTGAGTAAGTTTGCGAAACATATCGCATTAATATAAATTAAGCAGAAGTTATGAGTTTCCAAACACGGTATATAACAGAGAAGTTAGTATATTTTACGCAAGTTCCAAATCATCTAAGAGTATAGCGAATTACCATATCTTGCAGAAAAGAGTCGTGTTCGGAACTTTCATTCAACAATTCGATCAGCGACGAACTTTAGTATTCTAGTACATCGAGTGTAGGAAATACTACACTTGGAATTTTCTTTACGATAATTTGGGCCTTACTGATTATTAGAGTAACTGGAATGAGAAACTCATTCGAATATATGATGGCAGACGATAAAAAAGTATGTGTTCAGATATCCTAATTGTTGGATAAAGCGTTAAGTGCTTGTTCGGCAACTTTGATAAACTTTTTTCAAAATAGGTCCTTCTATTGTCGATAAGGAATTGGTCTGAAACTCCTGATGCTAAATTACTTCAATCAGATGACCAGTGATGTGCAATTGATCGACTAGATCCTCGAATATTTCGAATGACCGGATTTTCCATTCAAAAATCCTCTGCTATTTTCCTCTTCTTAACGTACTGTTCATATGCTCTTTTTCAAAAGGATGGCATAGCAGAAGTTTCCAAGCCACCTCAGTTAAAGGCAGTGGATCGGCAAAACTCAACAACTCAGGATTTTAACGCGATAGGTTCCTTATCGTCCAAGTATGAAAACATTGCAATCCTGGTTGGACAGCATGCCTTCCCTGCCGAAAAAATGGCTCTCAAACTTACGCTCCCGGACGAGTTGGCAATTTTCTCCTCAACACTGGAGACTGCCCGCCGCAATGCTATAACCATTGGTTTCCGCAACGATCCAGCATCATCAGCCTTGCTCCACTCGTCCAATTCCGAAGGGAAGGGCATTGAAAAACGCTCGTTTTCGCCGTTTTCAAGCTCGCAAAAGTGGATTTTCGGGATCAGCCCATTGAATAACCCCAGGTAAGCGCAAATTTGACTAGGCTGAGATTTGCCGAGCCACTGCCTTCAAGAAATGATAACTATATTTCGTTTTTCTCCATATTTTTTCTCTTATTACCTCAATACCTGAATCCATGTTCTCGCTGCTTGCACGCCTCACAATGAGACCTGTAAATGGGAGGAGCAATGGACGGGTCCTGACCTCTGAGGCGCGGAGGTGCTAGAACCAGAGCTCGGCACAGCTGGCACCGCATCAAACTGGATATCGTTTTTACGGCGGAAAGCAAAGGGCATATCGTTTCTCCGAGGTCCGGGCGAAGAGCCACAAGAATGTCGCCGACATGCCACCGGCACGCTGTCTATCAAACAAACAAAGGCGTTGTTTTCAGCCAAAACGCAATGGTATGACACCAAATTTGGTGTGTGTATGCGCGTTGGGGGACCAGAACTATGGCCCAAAAATTTTTGAAAACTTATGTGAATGAAAGCAGTGCTGAACTTTTTTCTGAATTGGTGCCAGCTGAGCTGGCACCGACACTTTGCTCATATAAGTTTTCATGCTTTTTTACATAAAATGTATCTACGCTGTAAAAGTTTACATACAGAGAAAAACAATTTCATAATGTTTTCTTTTCAGCGTTTTATAGCCATCTAAAAATTACTCGGTCTGCTCTGGAAAATCGGCTTTTTCTTTTTCTCAAGATGTGATTCAACCACTTAAAAATCTCAGAAAGCTGTGAAGAGTTGCTCCATAAACATGCTGGAAACTCTACTTCATACTTTTACATAATCTAAAAATGATGACGGGTCTTCAAAACAGGCCAAAGGGAACTTCCTACAAAATTTTCAAGATGAAATGGGACTTCGTTTTGAAATTTCCCTGGTGCCAGCTCGTGCTGAGCCCTGGTTAGAACCCTCCTGTGCGAATGCTGGTGCGAAGTTGGTGTGAGGAAAGGTGCTAGGAACTCCTGCATGCCCTCCTGACAACCTAGTGGCTTGCACGAACTGCAAGCGCAAAAAGCACTGCTGCATCAGCTTTGAATCTGCGAATTCCTCGTCATTTTGATTATTCAGTTTAAAATTATCCCCATTTTTTTCTTATGTTAATTTCAAGAAGCTGATCAGGGGATCAGAACATTTGAAAACTCTTTTTATGACCACGTTGCGTCAAACATATATTGCGTAAATGATAAAACTCGAGTTTTAGAGGAGTTAAACTTTCTCAGTATAATGTAAATTTTGATTCAAGGGTTAAAGCTGCTCAAAAGCAATGCGATTTTAGGCTGCTGCATAAGTTTTGCCCGATTTGAATTTTTTAAGTTCAAAATGTCATAACTTCTTTTAAAGTCAACTTTTTTCCAAGATCTTAGTTTCCTTGTGTTGAGCAGTTCCTTGGCTATGAAACGCATACTGAGACCTGCGCAAATCCTTGTTGAAGAAGAAGCAAGAACTTAAAAACTTCACAGTGTTTTTCTTCAAACCTGTTTTTTTTTGACATGGCAATGCTCCCTTATGAGTGATTGGCATCTTATCTATTAGGTTGGTGCAAAAGTTTTGTCAGTTTTTTGAATCCATCGGCAAACACGTTGGAGTGAAGATAAACAAAAATTTCATAATATATTCGATGCAGAATTTCTTTCTCTTTCCAGCTGCCAAACTCTTATTGTGCTTAATTGAGAGAGTGATGAGATATTCGCTGGAATTTGCAACCATTCGTTTCTACCATGACCAACTTTCACCAATTTATGCAATTTTTTCCTTTTTTCAGCTGCTTTTGCATATTTTTGCTAAATAATTTTCTGGACGTCCTGTGTTTTGAAACATCGCATAACCTGTTATTGCACCAAACACTGCAAAACCTACAGAATACTGAGGTTTCAACACTTGGTTATTACTACTGCGACAATTAGAGAGTAAATGAGCGACTTTCGCTGCAAATTATGAAGGTTTTGAAACATAGGTTACGTCAGTGCGCACTCCTGAAATTGAGAAATACTAAGATTTTCCCCACAAAGTTCGCCTACCTCGGCAAAAAAGACAAGTGTTAGAAGGAGGAGAAAAAGTTGCATCGAATAATGACTGAATTGTTTAACATTATACGCTCTACGAGGTTAAAATAGGCTGAATGTAAAATGTGTTCATTTCAAAAAATAAATCGTAGAAATTCTGAAGGACTAGACGTAGGGCTACAAAAAATTGCTGCTGTTGACAAAAGATCTGCCCTATCTGCTGGTTATTAGCGCTCCTCCGAAAGTCTCATGCAAAAAATTTTGAAAATTAGCGAAATTTGGACATGGTAAAAACGAGTTGTTGTAATTTCCAGCAAATATCTCGTCACTCTCGCAAAAAAACAATGGTAGTTTAGCAGCGAAAGAGGAAGAAATCCTGCATCGGATTTTTTTTGAAATGTTTGTTTATCTTCACTCTAGCGTGTTTGCCGATGGATCGAAAAAACTGACAAAACTTTTGCACCAACCTAATATTATAATATTTTGCAACATAAAAACCCATAGGTTCTGCGCTGCCGAAAGATTTTTTTGACCGAGCAAAAAAAGAAGCCACTTGACCTCGCATCAGCGCATGTGTGCATGTCTATTACGAATTATGAAAATTTTACAATTGATATGAGCGCTGGAAAGGAATTGGTGGATGGTCCCTGCTAGCTTTTGCTTTGCTCTACCACCTCCAACTTTGAATCATCGACTACTTCTATTCGCAGGAAGTTATTGCTTGTAAAAGATTTATACAAAAAATGTTCGACAATAAATTTTACTAGCGAGACTTTTCTTCATGAAACTGAGCTTCTGCATATACTAGCCTTGTACACTGTTATTCCGCAACCAAAGAAAGAATTTGACTTAAAGGGCGCATTGTGGAGATTTCCTCACAAGAACATATTTCTAGGGTGAGAACGTACCTCGGCCACTTGCAGATTTTTAGCCTATCTCCTTACACTAAGAAGTTATTGAAATCTAAAACGCGATAGAAAGCAAGGAAAGCACTTTCTGATGATGCTAACGATACTGCATTAGAATTGAAATTCTCTCAGAACAGCTGCTTTAGACATAAGGCAAAAAAATCGGACAGGACTTATGCAGCAGTCTAATATTGGAAAGACAATTTCATAGAAATTATGCAGGATTTGATGCATGAATTGAGACAGTACTACTCCAGTTCAGATGATTTCAACCTTAAAAATACAACTTTGCTGCAGTAATTTGATAATTTAGCTTCCACCACCAGAGCAAAGCGCCCTCAGATTCATTGTTCTTGAATGCTCTGGAATGCCATATGTCGACCCTGAAGCAGTAGCAGTGCTTACGCAGGCAAGTCAACATATTTTTCTCTTAATGTAAACTTGAACCTTCTTCTTTTCTTTTACTACTCTTTCTCTTTGCTTTCTTAAAAACATAAGACGAAATTTTTTAGATTTATTCCGAACTCCGCGCTGATCATGTTAAACTACTATTAGCAGGTGTTAGCGGTACGTTCGCCTGTTTACCCAGCATATAAAAATAGTCCTTATTTTAGCAAACGTCCGCGACTTTCTTGAAATCAATAAGTTCTTTTCGACTGTTCCGCGAGGGCATCTCTTTCCTACTCTTCAAGAAGCCTTATCAGCTGTTCGCATAATGAGCTTCCCATTTCATATGAGGTTAGTTTTCAATTCTCGCGAGTTCTTCTTTTCTGATTCTATATTTTTAGCGTATCTATGAATGGTTGTCGTGATGTAATCACTCTTTCAACAGCCCCATCCAATCACGATTTCATGTGTCGGCTCTCTCCAGAGCCTGTTTGAGGAATAAAAGGACAGGCAGAATGCTTCTAAGCCCTTGATGAAAGAAGTGTTGAAGTCTGATTCACGTGTCATGATGTGAATATTGCGCAATATTATATTCTTATATTCTCAATCTGTATATTTGAAGGCGGGAAATGAGATTGATCTCAAAGCAATGAGTGGAAGATTTATGTTTGACTAGTACGAGCTGTGCAAAAAGCAGTAAGAAGTCTCTGTGTCATTTCTATGATTGATAACAGCGACCACTGTTTTGCAACTGCAAAAGCTCAAGTTTCAAGTCCAACAACCCTGAAATTCTCAATTTGTCTCAGTTTCAGAGATTGAGGGTCATCTCATTATCAAACGAGCTAATCCTTGCCAAACAATCCATAAGCTCAAAATGGTCACGCAAAAACAACTGCGATCGCACATGAATCTACCGAGTTCCAAAGACTCCGACCTCTTTGGCTAATCGCTCCAGCTCGTCAGCAGCTGGAGTTTAATTCGGGATCGTCCAGCAGCAATCGCAACCGCGTAGACGTTCATGGATGACGATTGCATAAAACCGTATACGGTGGTCAAAATTTGGAGCCCGTACGGCGAGCGAGAATAGGCCATCTTAATAAGTAATGAAAACCAAATGTCTAACAAGAAAAGCTTCGTAGGCAAAATACTCAACTGCATTTGAACTTGAATTGCTACTTTGAAAAGCAGCTTGACCTTCCTTACCATCCCGTAAAGTATGAGGTTGTATGGAGATTAATGCAGGTTTTTGTGAGTTTTTAAGTCTATCGTTCTCTTGTTAGTGCCCTTAAGTGCTCCATCGTCTTCTGAAGTAATTTGTCCTAATTTCAAAAAACACAACTTTTCCTAAAATCGACCAGCCCGAACACGCTTGACGATCTTACCAAAATGCCATCTTTCGTGCTGCGTCTTCCCGGAAAGAAATTGCTTACAAGCGATTCAACTCACCTATGCTGAAGATTGCTCGCACATAACGAAGAAAAAGTGTATTTTGTAGTTTAAGATAGTAGCGCTTCTTCCAACATATCCGAAGCAATCCACGAGAGTTTTCTCATTAAGCTCCCCGTCAGTCACTTGGCACCAGACCGTAACATCGATAACGTCGCGTTTGAATTGTCTTCCCGCTCCCGTATAAAGCACATATATAAGCTTTGAAGAGCTATCAATTTCAGTAAGTCAATAATAAAATCAAGAATAAGAAACAAGCTTTTGAGTTATCTTCTTGTGACAGGAGAAAAAAAATTTTTTAATTGGGTTTAACAGCTACATAGTTCACTCTGAATTGTCTGACAGTGCGAGGAACGCAATTCGGAAAATCCCCAAAACTCTTGTTCAACAGTTCATCGTCTTTATTTCAAGAACTACCTAGACTTTCAGCCTTACTCTTTGATTCAACCGGATTGGCGGTTGGAAGGCGAAGCTTCGTGACTCAATTAAGGCTAAAGAATGATTAGAGAGCACGTTTGCGAGACAGGCGCAAATTGCATCACGTACGCGAGCGTTTCCTTCCAGCCGCCAATCTCATTGAATCAAAGGATACGTCAATCGTGAAATTCCTTTTCTATGTTTTCACCACGCTTCAAGTTAGTGTATATTTTCAATTTTTCTTGTGTTGGTGCTTTTATCACTCAATATCTCTCCTTGGATGATAGCTGTCAGAAAAAATATTGGTGCTTTTCTGGGGTTTATGAAGCAAGAATTGGTACTTTTTGAGAAATAGTGCAGCTACAAGTTTTTGAAAGTCGTACTTCCGAAGGCTTGTAAGTATGTAACTGGGTAACTGGAAAGGATCAGGATTGCTAGGATAGAAATTTTTCGATTATCCTAATTCTTAATTTCCAGTCACTGTCAATCATGAAAAAATTACAGCAAGTGTACATGTCAATGTTGTATAGGGGCGGGGGGGGGAGGGTAGGATTATTTGTGGTCCGACCTCTGTGTCACTCAGACTTCCTTGTTTTGTACTTTCAAACTCTATCTGGGAAGCGATTAATGTGGATATCTGATAGTATTTGTAACGCGCACACTGTCTGACAAGCCGTCTACCACAAGCTATTTTCAAATTTTGGTGTTCATTTTTCCGCAAGCATGGAAAGCGCAATCATCTGTCTGACGACCCAGTATATACCTCGTACCTTCTGACAATGAGTTATTGATAGTTTTTATTGACCAATCTCTTTCATATTTACCTAGGATAGTTCAGGAGCTTCCTAGTAACCTTACCTTAGTTCCTATACACTGGAATGATAGGCTTTCATTACCCTACAGCAAAGCATCATTCGACAAATGCGAATTAGACAAATTCATTACTCGTTCAGATTCAATACGTATAAGTAAGCACCATATTATCGCATTGTTCTATGGAACAGGGTCTTTTCTATGAGAATGCTCCATTAACAGAGTGTATGACTGATTCATGAAGGCTGAACGCTGCTAACGCAATCATAGTCTGCATGGGCTTGATATCTGTCAAGGCTACGTCGATGCTGCTAATTTGCAGCGCCTGAAAAAAGCGAATTGGTCGCGTGATCATGCACTTTTTTCTGAACATTGCTTGAACAAAAAAGTGCAAGCGCCGACCGGTCTGAATCGCAGCTATTCTTCAAACAGCAACGGAAATGAGTGATGATGTAATCAAAGGTTACGTGCAGGTATGCAGTCATCTGCAGATTTATGGTGGCCATCATCCTGACGACCTTCACTGACCTCTAAGTAGTTTGGCAATTCTGCAAAAACTCTTCTTGCACAGTTCGAGTTGATCGCGAGAAAATAAGGTGTGCATTCAAAGGATCAAAACCCGATCTCAAAGAGAATTTTGTTCGCTATCATACACTGTTCACGCAATTACCCGAAGAAGCCAACTTTTTTAGCATTATTCATTACATCCATGCAACATTTATTCTTTCAATATCCGGCATATTAGAGACAAATGATATTTTTTGCTCACAACCATAATTCAGCGCGGTCACAGTGAGAAGAAAACTTGATTGTCATGCCTGTCAAAGCACATGTGTAAACATTAGCGTCAAACTGACAAAGTGTTTTCTGTCAAACCATTGGCTTCTTATTGCTGGGGGATTAACAAAATTCGACAACTATCGAGCTAAGCGGTCACGGAAAGCTAAGCACTTAATACACTCAAAAAATAATCGCGCTTAGCTAAAATATAGTTTTCAAATTTAAGATTTGTTTCAAGAATATACGTGGAAGCATTCTGTGTTTAAGCGCACACGACTTCAAAACAAACATTATGGACGCACACTTTAAAACTGAGCGGCCAACAACAGAACAAAACTAATACCTAGCTAAAATAGCCAGCTTCTGCAGCAAGGCACCCGGTTGGTCAATGTCTTCCTTAGTTTTTTGAGCAGATGGATGTTGTTGCTAGTAAAGCTGTTTGAAGGTTAATGGTTGGTCCTTTGACGCATCTCAATATATATATTTGTCTTCAACTGGAGTGACTTTCCTAGTTGTGAAATCCTTCTCAGAAAGCTTATCCGCTTGAAGAGAAGATTTGATTGAAGGTATGCATCAATCGGATCTTCATAGTAATATAGCACGTCAGAATTTTAAGTTTTCATTTCAAGCTATGCCAAGGTAAATATACACAACATGGAAATGGTGTACAAACATACTTCTTTCCACTCCACCGCAATAACGTAAACGGCTGCACAATCTTTCCAAGTTGACTAGATATTATTTCACATCTAAATTTTGATAAGCTTACTTTATTTCCTTTACATTTCTGGTATTTTTAAGTGGACTGCAGTGACTTCATATTTTCTTGCCCATTCTGATAGTTCCCCTTATTTTTTGTAAAGTGACTGTTTTGCTGCTTGAGCTGTGGTAGAGCCAGCCTTTAGAACAAAGAGGACTTCTTCTTGTTTATATATATACAGGGTGTCCCAAAAGTATGTATCGAACGTTTGATCGTTAATAACTCTCTTCCCAAGAAGTCTTTTGCCTTGCTTTAGGTACCGTTTTGTAGAGCTGGCTTCAACTTAGATTTGGACTATAGAACGAATCATTCATCTCTCTTCATTACTGTAGGATTACAGTAGAAACTTGAAACATATGGTGTTAATGTGAAAAAAGCTGCCGTTTCAAAATTTTTCAAAAAATCGTGAAAACTTGTGTAATAGGGTTTTTATGGACGCTGAGTTCAATAATTAACTATTCACAAGATTACGAAGCTTTCTAAACGGTGCAATCCCACTTTTTAGGAACAGTGAAAAAATGGCCGCTACTTCTTACCTGGCATAACTCTTCAATGAAGCATCATAATAAGTTGGGAACTTTACAGTTATAATCAGCAACTCTAATTAGCCTAGTGTAAAAGTTTTAAGGCTGTTTTGTTTCCTTTCTGGGGCAAAATATGGCCTTTCATTGCTTAAAACCCTCCTTGAAGTTTCTACCGTAATCCTACAGTAATGAAGAGAAATGAGTGATTCGTTCTATACTGCAAATCTAAGTTGAAGCCAGCTCTACAAAACGGTACCTGAAGCAAGGCAAAAGACTTCTTGGGAAGAGAGTTATTAACCATCAAACGTTCGATACATACTTTTGGGACACCCTGTATATATTTTATATGTTAACTATGTCGATATTTTGCTGTTTTTTGCTTTGTTTTGTATATGTACGTTTGCATGTATCCAACACTTCAAAAAATAATCTCAATCAAAGTTCCCAAAACATGCGGTCAGAATGCTTTGCTTTGTGCTAATGCTTGTTTACGTCGGTTTGCCATGCTTTTCCAACGTTCAAGCTTTCAATTTCTAAGGTGCAACAGTTGAAAGAACAAACAGTTTTCGAGAATGCACGAAGCTTTTCGAAACATTGTTGTAATCATTGCGGATTCGACTTTGCAAAGGTCCCATATATCCACAAACGCAATGCATGGCATTCTGGCAGTCACCTGCGGCAGAACTCTCTTACCATTTGAAGACGGTTAATTGGTATTGAAGCAGGCTGGGTGGATAAGGGCTTTTACTGACTGAGTAGGCCGGGTGACTGCTGCTAGTCATAGTAGAGGTGTGCATGTATTGAGAGCTGCCTTGAGAGCTAT